CTAACAGGGAGTTTGGTCGTCGCATAAAAACCTTAAGGTGTTTATGCGACGACCGAACTCCCCGTCTACATGTTTTTCGCCCATATTCCATAGTCTTTTCGGATCGTTAAAAATTTTGGGATGCCTTCTTTTGACATCACCTATACATTTGGCAAAAGTGTTGACATGTTCAAACTTTTCTGCACCAAGCTTTCCAGCATCTTTTTTCTGCTTTGCGACAGGTTATATCACGATTCAGGATTTTATGTGTACGTATTGCAGCATCAGAAGGAGTGGAATTCTTGTAACCAGGACCATCAGCTGCCAATTTTTGTAAAGTGGCTTTCATTGTGTTCTTGTCGACCGAAAACCCATGCAAACCGGCACTTTTTATTTTATCGTTGAGCATTACAGCCTCCTCAAGTGTCCATACTGTCTTTTTACGAGGCTGATTGTCAGCAGGATCAACCAGCTTTGCAAGGGACTGGTGGTATTTTGGGTTAATACTAGTTGCAATGCGTCCTGCAGTTCCTTTTGAGATTCCACAAATTTCCGCAACATGGCGGACAGAATGCCTCTTGCAGATCATTTCAGCTGCTTTTTTTCTTCTCTCCGCTAAATCTCGGTCACGTACTTGTTTACGGTTCGCCAGAAGCGTTTCACGCCGCATCGAGAGAGGAATCTCGAGGCAATCCCGCGGTTGATGGCGAGCAATCTATCGATTTCTACCACTCCCTTTTTATTTGAAGAGTCCTATCACGGATCGACCCGCCTTTTTTCGAAAGCAGTTTAATTCAAGATGTTCCTTAGCATGATACGAAGCACTTGGCCCGCTTTGGATGGGTCTCAAGTGCCAGAAGGACGTTTGGCATAGGTAAATAATAACGCTGCCCAAAATAAACCCCGCCCCAAATCAAGCTCCCGGGGAAGGGTAATAAGCATCAAAAAATGCGCGTTTCGCACGGCCCAAACCCTGACCTGCCCCTGTGAATTTTGCAGTCTACTCTGCTGATCATGAGGTAACTGTTGCTGGAGCATTTTGTCTCGGATCCGTAAGGTACGTTGCTGCAGTGTGGCAGCAGAGATCGGCAGTTTCGCTGCTCGAGCAATGTGAACAAAGTCGAACGGCGAACGGTCAATGTCTGGGAACCGCGCAGCTGAAAAGATTTTGAGCTGCATGTTGTGGCTACGCTCTTGCATTTTTCTTTGAAGTAACGCCGATTCAGTTCTAATCTTCTGCACAAGGCGCACACTGCAACGAAAAGATGCAGCAACTCCATAAACTGTTTCCCCATTCTCAAGAGATTCAAGGACTTTTCCTTTCTGTGCCAACGATAATCTTTTGCGCTGTGCTTTCGGTTTCGATGAGCTCACGTTTGCCATGATGATGAGCACGGCAGTGCAGATAAGGATGCCGGTGGTGGCTGATACCGCAGATGTCTTCTCGGGGAACAAGCGGCGGCGTGGGTTCTAAGGCTCGCTACAGCTGCATTGCTGGCATATCAAGCGTACAGTTGTACACGTTTCAGAATCGTTGACATGGCCTGAAAAGCGCACTATTGACGTAAATGTACTAACAAAGAGCGCACTATTACGGAGGCCCCCCCTGTACACATCAATCGAGCCCTTGGTCTGTTTTGTGAAAGGCAAAAACAAGAAAGGCAGGCCCTCCTGCGCCACAAATGGAAAAAGAAGCATGACCTGCACTCAACCGTCGCTGAAAAAATACGATATCTCGACAGTTTTTTCATGCATACGAAATATCGTATACAGAACTTTGAAGTGTCATAACTGAGCCGCATCGCCATCTTCGGTGCTGTGCTTCAAGCTATGCCCTCCTTGGATGGCAACAAAAGGCCCTATAGCATTACTTTTAAAGAAAATATCGTGTATCGAAGGCCTCTGGAGGGCATATTGGACATCCGTATTGACCCCAAAACTAGCCTTGTATACGATAATTCGTATATAAGGATTGTCTGTTGTGATGGCAAAGATTGGAAAAAGAGAAGTCCCCATCCATTTCGTTAGGCTCAGATTACTTCTATTTGCTACCGTTGCCTTTAATCTTCATTAGAAAGCGCAATCAAGGACTCACATCTATCTAAACAGGCCAATTGAAGCACATGTTTATCAATTGAAAAGTCTTTTCATCTATTGTTGGTGATGCAAGCGCAATAAACACTGTTCTACGTACGTCTCTTCCTCTTCCTGAGGCTAGTCCTCGCTGACGCTGTGGCTTCCCGGTTTTCATTCTCACTGGGAGGGAGTGACTCAACGTTTAGGCTCGGAATCTCAGGGCGCCTGGCTTCACTCTGATCAGGTGTAGTAGAATGCCGGGACGAATTACCAAACCTGTTTTTGTGGGGACTCGTCGCACGAGGGGTAAGAGTCATTGTATTATGCCAAATATTCCAGCAACTCACTCTCTGTCCTGTATGCGTCTTTGTACATAAATGTACATGACATGTCCCGCGCTTAATACCAGTCCGCCTTCCACGCCATTTGTCCTCATTATGCTTCACATTTCCACACAAAGCACACCACACGTCTTTCCCTGTAGAGCAAGGCGGGTGCTCTTGCACATTAATTCTAAGCTTTCGTCCGCTTTGATGATTGAACCACAACAAACGACACCGCTTCCTCAATAAAGCTTTTCGGGACAACTCCTTCGCGTCTTCATCCCCTATAACTACTGTGACAGTGCCACTGTGATCACCTTTCTCTCCATTTTGTTCGTTCTTTTGTAGGTTGTCTGCATGTTGTAGTAGATCCCCAGATACATCAGCAATAAATCTGCCAACGACTGGCATCGGTTGAGAGCGTCTCTAAATTTATCAAGACCACCAAAAGACGAAGAAGAACAGAGCAAAACTTTGCACCCCAACATTCGCCAAGCAAGAAAAGCATTGACCCCAACCGTCTTCAGAACTTGGGTAACGATTTTTTGCTCCCACTTTAAACTTTGGGTAGAAGCACGCATGTTCGCCCTATACTGCGTTGCCCCATCAATACCTCCTATTTGACTGCCATTCGCACTCCTTAATCTGCCGCCTCCACGCCCTCGTCTCGCTCCTCTTCCACGACCTCTACCTCCACGCCTAACCCCCCTTCCCTCACCAGCAGTTGGAACCCTTTGTCTTTGAACGTCTGTATCAGCGCTTAGGGAGCCTCCTCTTGGCCCGTGCTCTCTCCCTTCACTCACAGCTACGACTGGAGCTGCATCTTCACTGACTTCGGCCATGCCGGTTGAAATGGATTCGATGTCGAATTGTAATCCCGAACATGTGCACGATCGAGCCTACAACTCGATGCTGACGTCAACTCGCCGGCCCTTGAACTCAAGACAGGCACTTTACAGCACGTTTTACAACTTACAGTTGACGGAAGCAGCCAAGACAAGCGAGCGGAAAGACAACTTGGGCTTTCTCTAGCCCCTTTTCAGGGCGTTGTATACGATTTTGCGTACATAACGATAAGGGGTATCATTTTCAGAAATCTCCTACCATACGAATTTTCGTATTTAAGAATAGTAGGGATATACTGTATACAGTCGAGATCCGTTAATTAATGATAACACTTCAGAGCAGTTGTCGACTTCCCCAGTCGAGAAAATTTCCAGCAGTAAAATGCTCTGTTTCAGAATTACAGGGAAGCAAGTGATCACTTCACGGGCCGGCTTGGAGACTAAAGTTGAAGAATTCTGAGCCCTCCACAAGGGGCCATACGGGTACGGCTTGTGGGGCCTGGCTTCATGTCGATTTTAGTGATCACCTGAAATAAGGCAAGCATAATGAAAAGTGTTATTCTTTTCATTACAGCGTGAGAGCTCCTCCCCAAAAAGTGATTTATAATTGTTTTGACAAGCGCAGAGCAGCATGCAGGACAGCAGAAAACTCTGGCTAGTACAGTACCAAGGGTGCCCTTGCAAGGGTGCCCTTGCAAGGGTACCCTTGGTACTGCACAGTACCCAAGGGTAGTGGAAGCATCACGGCTTCCACATACTCTACTGTCCCAATATCGTACAGCATGATGAAAGGCGTGTTGGCTGAACGCTAAACTGTCTGCAGAGTGGAAGACGGCCTAGGAGCGTGCTCTCTTCGAGTGCGTGATCTGCATTTGTCATGGCTCGCTCTCTCACCTCACTTCTTTTCGTTTCTGTTTTTTTTCAAACTCGGCCACCAAATTGCAGATGACTGCGCCCCCATGTAACGGGCGTTGTGCTTTGAACACATCGACGACGTGACTCTGCATGTAGCTCCCAACAAGATTCTGGCTAGCTCGCTGTCGCTGACGGCAACAATCAGCGTCAGAAGCGTTTTCCTTTCTGGGGTCTGACAACAGAGCTACTCCCACTCATTGCATTTGTCCCGTATGTATGCACGCTTAAAATCTTTCAAATCTGATGCCTATATACTTCAGCAGTCTGAGCACCAGTGATACAACTTCAAAGACACTGTTTCTGTTACTTTCCTCACCGGCAATCAGTTATCTCTTTGCAGATCCTGTCAAAGTACCTTGAGTTTTTTTGAGAGTTCCGTCTCTCTTGATAATTCCCGTCAACCCACTTTCGATCGGACCGTTAGTCCTCATGTGAAGACAAAAGTTATTTCCTTTTTTTCTAGAGAACGCCACTTGCCGTTTCACTTCTGTTTTTGCAACTAAAAGGCCATCACCATGGATAAAGCACTCGCTCGTCCATTCTAGCGAAAATGAACTAGCTGATGCACATAAGGTGTTTAAAAGAAGCTGGGCTTACAGTAAGAATTTTCCTTTAGGCCAATTTTATAACTGTGTCATAAAGACATTGTGTACACGTGTAGAGTGCTTTCTATTCAGTTCTAACTTCAGAAAATAAATAAATAAATAAAACGAGTCAACCTTCTATAAAAAAATATAAATCGTGGACATCAAAGTTGAAAAGAAATAAAATTCGCAAATGTTTTGTTAATATAACGCTTGATCGGATAGATATCAGACAACTTTTCTGCTGCATCCTTTAATTCAGTGCCATTGCCCGAATAATGAAATTTCTATACATCGACGAGGAGTTAACAATGGAGGACAGAAACGAAAGAAAAGGAAACATGCTTAAAATCGAGAAAAATATTCAGTATTCAATTGCACCAGTGGTGCCGCACGAGTTGGACCGGGACCGCGGGCGGGGCTTGGTACCGCATCAGCCGACACACTTTTGGTCCGCCCCTCCCCTTCAACATATCAACGATTTCCGCCTGTGCCCCGGCCGCAACACAGTTATCTCTCCCGCCATCAAACCCGGTTTGCTGTCTGTAACCCACTCCGCCGGCCTCTTCCATCCCCCGACCCCCACTTCCCCGCCGCTCCCCCCTCTCCATCCTCCGAGCCGCAAGACGCGGTCTTGCCTGCCTTCCATCTTGCCCTCCCCTTTTGTTGCCTGCACACCCCCAAGACAACAACCACGCTTCTCTACTCGCCCTCCGAATCTTCCAGCCCTGCTATCCGCTTTTTCGACCTATCCTTGCCCCTATTCCCTGACCGTGTTCAGTATTACCCTTACGCATTCACCCTTAGTCTCCATCAAGGACGGTCAGCTGTTTGCTCGAGCTTCGACAGGCTGCCAAGCTTTCATTGAGACAAGCAGCGGTTCTGTCGTTAGCTTTCATTGATACCTAGAATTGTGCTTTCGTGGCTTAGGCAAGAGTTTCCGTCATGATATGACGATTTTTTCTTGCTGGACGTCCCGTGTGATCAAGTTTTCTTCCGATTAGTAGCACTAATTCCTTTGCACGACAATAAGCACCTGGCATTTAGTCTCCTCAGAGGAAATCAACTCTGCAATCGCTCCTATAGTGCGCTTTTTGTCCTTGGCCAGATCTGCTCAACTGTACAGAAGGCTGCAAGGTACCGCTAGTATCTTCGTTGACATTACGTTGATCCCATGGGCACAGGAAAAAAAGGTGCGGGCTCTGGAGATCCTCGAAGCTCTCGTCTAAGCTCTGGATCTCAAGCGCGCGCCAATCTCCCTCCAAAACCTGCCTCTCAGAAGCGAGTTCGGAGGGCTCCGACGTCATCCACCATGCCCCCACCGGCAAATGCTTCTGGAACTAGCCGTGCGACCGGTCAAAAGGGTTGGAGTCGCCGAAGTGCCAGTTGGACGCCTCAAGAAGACGCGAGGTTAGTTGAGCTAGTGAAAAAAGAATCTGCGGTGCCCCCGTCCATCTCTGCGTCTAAGACTTGGAGTCGCGTCGCTTCTCAGTTGACAAATCGCACTGGGAAGCAATGCCGCGAAAGATATCTCAATCAGTTGAAGCCAGGTATCCGTCGGGATCCGTGGTCGCCCGAAGAGGAACGTATTCTTCGTGAAACACATGCGAAGATCGGAAACAAGTGGGTTACAATAGCTCAACAACTTCCTGGCCGTACAGACAATTGCGTGAAGAATCATTGGAATTCCATGCTGCGTAAGCGCCAACGACGTGAGGCTGCTCTTCGAGCCACTGAAGCTGAAGTTGTGGCTACTCTCGGGAGTGCCCAGGGACACAAGTTGCACCATGATTTCAAGAGTGAAGCGGATCTCTCTGTGCATACTGGATATGCCACTCCGTCCGGGGTCTCGTCGTCTTACCACGATCTGCCAACATCTGGTGTACCGAGTCCGTACACTGCTTCATCTCCAATCACTCCAAAACGCGACTCTAAGCTGCAAATATCTACACTAGTCGCACATTCGAGGAAGGAACTACTGACGTGGAGCGTACCATATGTTCAACATGTGAACATCGGACCTGCATTGTACGGCTCGGAAGCAGTGAAAGCGCAGAACGCAAAGCTCCAAATGTCAGCTCCTGTTGCTCGCAACGTTCTTGGAGACAGCGTTCCCCTTCAGACCTCCTCACCTCATCTCTGCGCGAACCGCAGTGCTCCTCTATTCCCTGCTCCTCTGTTCCCTAATGAAGCGAATAGTCCTGTTGTCGCCTCGCCAGGGTGCGGTCTGTCTGGGTCTCCCATGCCGAAGGTGGTGGTACCCTCGCCGATGCGGTCGATGATGTCACCCACTTCTACCGACCAAAGAACTTTAAATAGTCCAGAAACCATTGCAGCTAGAGATGTTCGCATTGCACCACCAGTGCGCCGAAGTTCTCGACTTTTATCGTACGGTTCGAAGAACACTGGCCCTTCTACGCTTCCATGTAAGCCCATGAAAAGCCTCCGAAAAACGAGGATGAGCAGTGGCCTTTTAGGTGACGAGGTTGGCGCTAATCCTCTTGCAGCATTGGCAGCAGCTGCGAGCAGCGTGCCACCCTCACCCTTGACACCAGAGTCTAGATTTAGCGCGACAAGTCGCAGCAGGTCTGTATCTCCTGATCCTCGTCTATGGCAAAGGCGATCCAAAGCTACAGCATGCACCAACAGTGTGAGGGCGGGCTTGCAAATCCAAAAGCCATTGGTGGGAATGAACACAGTATCACGGAGCGGTCCCACCGGTGAAAGGTCACGAAGCGACGATAGCGAATGTCGTCGTGCGGAACACGTGGATGGCAACAAGTGACGTTAAATAAGCGCCATCCTTCAAGAATCTTAAGCGCTCTCGAAGTTGTATACGAAAAAGGAATCTTGTTTTGCGCAGCTACTTCTGAGGTCGCAAAACGTGCCTGTGTCTCGCATTCCTTGGTATTCTGTTTTCTGTCGAAAGGCCTTGATACTAATCGATTTGGACATGTTTAGTAAGCTCACTCTTGATGTATACATTCTTCTCAAGCTGCGTCGAACTGGGCTTAAAGGAGAAAACTCATTTGCGCGTGTGACATTATCTGTGGTTGGGGTGGGGGTTAGTACGTTTGCATTTTTACAGTGTCCGCACTTTATTCGTGGATGTTAAGTGGTGGAGAAAGAGAATAAATTCGATTTAGGGTATGTGCTCATAGCTTGGCAAAGTTGCATTTCGCCTTTCGTAAAGGAAGCGCGAGCCTTGAAAAGGAACAAGCAGTAGTGCTGTTCTAAGGATTATCGTTCGTGAATAAAACGGGAACAAACGCTCTGAGCACATGACGTGCTGGTGCACATGCCTGCGAAGGCAGAGCGTGGGAGGCCGAGAAGACAAACGAATCGCGATCCATGTCCAGATTAAGGACCGAACGGTTCATGCGCTTTTACGAACATGGCGGTTGGAGGATGGTGCGTACCATTCATACCAAGTGGCCAATGAGAGAGAACCGTGCAAATGAATTGCATAGATGCTGCACCTCAATTCTGAAAAGCATCTGGTCATCCATTGGACACAGATCGCTTTTAGTACTTCAAATTCCCCTCATACTTTTGTCCATTCGTGTACAGTACTGTGTACTGTTGTTACAAGTTGTGCTTCACGTGTCCGCGTGTACAAGTCTAGAGGGTCCAGCAATGTCGGTGGCAGTGCAAGGGCAATGCAGCCCAAAGCTTTTGTGAAAGTGCACGAAAGGGCAGTTTGCAGGCCGGTTTGCAAAGGGTGCTGCATAGCCTAGATTTTCAACGGTATTAGCGACCGTTGCGCATACCGGCACAAGCAGTGTCGGTTTAATTGAAAGTTGCCAGACGCAGTGGCTAGTCCAAAGCAATGGACTAATAAGAGGGAGATAGAAATCGAGGAGTAGAGAAAGGCAGAAAAATATAGAGAGCGGCAGCGACGCTCAGGCTGATTGTGCCTTCCCACTGTGTTTGTAGAGTAGTGTTTTCCTTCACCACTGCAGCATCCAAGGATGCCTTCATCCATGGATCTGACAACTGTACTGTTAGGAATGCTGTAAGCCCAGCGCCCAAGAATGCACACTGCGCAGGAAAGGGCGCGCGGGACTTACGCTTGGAGGACAGGGCGAAGCGAAGCGCGCGGCATTGCGTTTGGACGAGGGCGTGCGCGGGCGGGTGGAGCGCGAACCGCAAGCGGAGGACCGCAGGCGCAGGAGCGGGCCAGAGAGAAGGCGGGCAAGGAGATCGTGAACCGCAAGCGGAGGGCTGGGCGCAGGAATGGGCCAAGAGAAGACTGGCGGGCTACGTGCGGGGGTTGCGATCGGGGGTAGTGGTAGTTTATAGCGAGCAGCGGGGAGTACATAAGCGGTAGTTGGGGGCGTAGAAAAAGGGGGAGGCAGGCATCGGGTGGATTTCTCGACGAGGAGCTCAAGTGGACTCTTGAGTTCTTGACGCCTGGCCTCCCGCCGAAAGGAGGTAAAAGATTTTCTCGGCAATCATTGTGTCTCAGGACGAGCCACAACAGTACAGTACTGTAGCCACCGGCTGAACGAATCTGGTGCAGTTCAATACTTTGGAGAAGAAACTGTGCTCATTCCGAGGAGCACCAACAAACTCATCACTGATACTGTACCAAATGCAGTAGTGCAGCACAGGGGAGGACGCCAATTAGTGCCACTTTTGTTAGTGCCACCTTCGGATTAGTGCCGCCCTGAGGCCGGAACACGAAAAACACGACTTGTTCTCTAGCTTCCAACGTGCCTACAGAAAAATTCCAAGGCCCCTCTCAGCGCCGAACACCTTTCGCAGTCAGTAAATGCTATGGTTCCGCTCCCAGATAAGGCAAAAACGATGCGTAGGCGCCTGACCTTATCGCAGAAGCTCTAATTCACCGATCTGTAGGCGAATCGAACGTCGATGAGATCGCGAAATTGTTTGGAAAACTGGAAATTTTGGTTGCAGAATGTGAAGTGTTTGACGCGTTATCGTGCTTCAGGTCGGTAAAGCAGGCGTTTCTAGCTGCAGAACACGACAGAGAACGGACGCGGAGCAGGCAGTGTTCGGAATAGTGCTGATTTTTGGATTCCGCATGGGGCGGCACTAATTGGTAGGGCCTTCTGTATCCGTATGCAGTACAGTACTGTAATGTTGTGCCCGGTCTCCTGGGCACTGTCAAACCAAAACGTTTATTGAATCTGGAGCGGTCGCTGAGAATCCGCTCAGCTACACGGGAATCCACCCGATGCCCACCGCTCGTCGAGAGTCCACTCGACGTCCAGGTCACCTCCTGCTGCCCCCCTTTTTCTCTGTTCCTCCCCGCCGGGCTCCCTTTTATACTACCTACCTTCCCTCGTCACCGCGCCCCCCAAGCCCTGAGTCTTGCACCCACATCCGGTTCCCCGCCTTTCCTTTTGCCTACTGGCCCTTCCCTTCGCCTACTCCCCGCTCCTTTTCCCTTCGTGGTCCCCCTGACATTTTCCTTTCGTCCCCCATGCGCAATTCCCCGTGCGCAATTCCTCGTGCCGGCCCATGCATCAACAGCCGACAAGCCTTCTTTCTCTTCGAAGCAACTGTCGCCCCGCGTTCGAGCCGGCACAGACTGACACGTGTTTAATTTCCCAGCAGTACTGTTGTGGGAACCAGCTCAGACATGCTGGTGTCGCGAGCAATGTAGGAGCAGTTCTGTCCTTGGTGGCAGGTACGGAAGGCACAAAAGCCCGAGTATGCTACTCTCTGCACTGTATTTGCTCTTAACCTCCGCTCTCGCTCTACCTCCTTCTCTCCGGGGCTTCCGGTGTCTCTATCGCTCCATATACATCACTATCTAGGAGAACAGCATGTCGCTCCTGCATTCAATTACCATTCTCGCTTACAATGGTCGACAATGCAATTGTCGGCTTTTCGCTACAGCTCGTAGACGTGAATTAAAACCCCATGCATGGGGATTGCTTTGCACCCTTTGGTCCTTTGCGCCCCTTGCCTCGATTAATCAATTCGTACCCCATGCATCCAACAACAGGGGGGTCGCGATATAGTGCTACCCTGTGTCAGTGGGCCGAAAACGGCACTATATCGAACCAGGCACTGTAAGATAATGAGATTTACGGCTTTTTTGCCGCCACTCCCTTGCGCATCACTGCTCAGAAAGACCGCTCGCAGGACGCCATCACTCATACTTTGCATCTTCACTACAGACTCAAGTCTAATCAGGCATTTCTGTTATTAGTAGCTGCCGAGCCGTCGCATTGACTCCCTCCTTTTTCGCAGCCACAAATGCCAGCCTACACTTTTGCAGATGTCCAATTGCATCATCGACCCTGCCTTTTTTCGCCAGTCTCTATTCTAGTAAGCAACTGCATAATATCTTTCCGCGGCGGCAGCGGCTCTCGGGCAGTACGTCCATCCAACTGCCTTGCCTCTCTGGAGACCCTTCGTTTTTGGCTCAAAATTCGTGCCACCCCTAGAAGGGTAGCACTATATCGGAGCTGGCACTAACAAAGATGGCACTATATCGCGACCCCCCTGTACTACTATCCCATTCAATCCTGCCATGCTCTGTATGCTGCAAACCTGTACACGTTGCACAAATTGTCACAACTGTACAGGACTGCATTCGGGGCTTACAGTCATTCATACGTGTACACCATGCCATCAGGATTGGTTAGTGACACGTGAAGTCCCTTATAATTGTTCCACGGCACTTGAAGTTGATCCACATGTAATTGTGGAAGCATCTGATCCGCGCACTGGCGCCAAAAAAGGGGGAATTCTACACTGACTTGCGACGACAGCGCTCCTACCAGCAAACAGCATCACTGGAAGACGACGATTTTCAAACCGTCACTACTTGATTTGATCCTCATCAACCGGCCTGTTAAAACTTGAGAGTGCCAGACCCCCGGAAACCAACGACAAACCCGTCAACTCATTCAAGACGGCGTCGCTATAGCTTCCAATACGACGCACTTGCAAATCGGGTCTGCGCTCAACGGTCGCGACAACTTGGAGGGAAATCGCTTCAATCGTCTTTCTGAAGCGTTCGACTTGGTCACCGAAAAAATACCCCGGGCCTCTTTTGACAACTTCGTAACCTCACAATGCAAGCGCCCGTTCTAGTCCTCAGTAAGTTCATCCCGGGATATGCCCCAGTACTTCTGTCATCCAGCACGAGCCTAACAAGAGATTTAACAATGTCCTTCCGATTCCACATTATTTCCTGTCATTAGACCAGAATGCCAAACGTGAAAGTGGCCGCCGTGCCCAACTCACGAACATCGCAGCCGCCCGTGCTGTCTCGGACATAATTCGAACCACCCTTGGACCACGTGCAATGCTCAAGATGATCCTTGACGCCATGGGCAACATTGTCCTCACCAATGATGGCAATGCGATCCTTCGTGAAATTGACGTGTCACATCCCGCCGCAAAGTCTATGATCGAACTCTCCCGCACTCAAGATGAGGAGGTTGGTGATGGCACTACTTCTGTCACTGTGCTTGCTGGCGAGATCCTGACGCTTTGTGAGACTTTTTTGAATCGTAACATCCACCCAACTGTTATTGTATCAGCGCTATTTAATGCGTTGGACGATGCTGTCGTCTTTGCGGAAGAGCTTGCCATCACAGTCGACTTAACCAACGATGAACAGATTTTGCAGCTGATTCGTTCTTGCATTGGCACCAAATATGTCACGAGGCACGACGATTTGATCGTTAACATTGCTTTTAAAGCCGTGAATGTGGTCCGTGTGGATATTGATGGAACGGTTGTGATCGATATTAAGAATTTTGCAAAGGTCGAGAAAATTCCCGGTGGCGAACTCTCGGACAGCAGGGTACTTAGCGGTGTGATGTTTAACAAGGATGTCACAAATGCCAAGATGCGTCGCCGCATCGAAAACCCGCGCATCATTTTACTCGACTGTCCGCTTGAATATCGCAAGGCAGAGTCGACAACCAACGTTGAGATTACAGAGGAAAAGGACTGGAAGCGCCTTCTTGAGATTGAAGAAGAATACGTCATGGCTCTCTGTGATAAGCTGCTGGAGTTCAAACCAGACTTGATTGTGACTGAGAAGGGAGTCAGCGATCTTGCACTGCACGTTCTCGGGAAACAAAACGTATCGGTGATTCGACGATTGCGGAAGACAGATAATACTCGCATAGCAAAGGCATCGGGAGCTATAATTGTCTCTCGTGTTGAAGAACTCAAGGAAAGTGATGTGGGTGTCGGGGCCGGCCTTTTCGAAGTCTCAAAGATCGGAGACGAGTATTTCAGTTTCATCACCGAATGCAAGAACCCCAAGGCTTGTACGATACTGCTCCGAGGCGGGTCAAAAGATGTTCTTATGGAGGTAGAGCGTAACCTTCAAGACGCGATGGCAGTGACGCGAAACATTCTTACAAATCCAAAGATGGTCCCTGGAGGAGGTGCGATTGAGATGGCTGTATCGAATCGTCTCCACGCAAAATCGAAAACGATCACCGGAGTGAGCCAATACCCCTATCGCGCTGTGGCCGAAGCCCTTGAGGTCATTCCTCGAACACTTGCGGAGAATTGTGGAGGAAAAGTTATTCGAGTAATGACAGCATTGCGTGCGAAGCACTCCGGGGCAAAAGACACGGAAAACAAAGATTGTTCGTTTTGGGGAATTGACGGCCTCAAGGGCGTTGCCGCAGACATGCGAGAGATTGGGATTTGGGAGCCGCTCATTGTAAAGACTCAGACAATGAAGACCGCAGTAGAAGCAGCTGGTATGCTCCTAAGGATTGATGATATTGTCTCTGGGCTTTCGAAAAGAAAGGATGCGGGAGGAGCGCAGGGTGGAGCACCCGAAGAAGAGTAAATGCGGCTCACCTTCTGTTGCACAATCTCAACGTATCGTGGAAGAAGAGCGAACCGTATTGACGTCCCTCTCTATCATGCAGTCATGTAAACATGAAAACTGTTGCATTCAGAGGCCAGCAAACTCAATCCATCAAGTCCTGCGCCTTGCTCAGTGTGTGACAGTTGGACACCGAGGCGGTGTGCATATCATGCATAATTCCGTAAGGGAGAAAGTCTCGCAGTAGCCGGCACGTTGCTGGACCGGTATACGGCAGAGTAGAGAAGTCTGCCGGTAGAACTCTTGTCCGCTACGTACTGAATGGAGACCCCCCGCCCTCCGAGAGCGGGGACGAGGAGCGACGGTCTGCCTACTAGTTGAGTGTGCGCGCGCGGCGGCAATCTGTCCCGAAGTTGATCAGTACAGAAAACGTTTTCTTGTTTTTGCGTCGCACGGCGAGCACGACAAGTGAATCGTGTCACTTGTGCGCAGTTGGGAGAAGCGAGACCTCCCGTTCTCACGACAGTGCACTGTACGAAATACTACAGTACGGCTCGGATACGGCTCGGATACGGCTCGGATACATACTGTCCTTGTACTGTAACGTGTACCGAAGGGTACTGTAACGTGTACAGTAGCACACATACTGTAGAACCCTCGACCACACCGTCGTCCTTTCTGCCTATAAACGAACGTCCTAGGAACGACACTTTCGCCATCACAAGTTCCAACTGCAGTACCCTTCCCCGAAAGTATATTGTGGTAACATCTTTCATAAATTAATTAAAAAACTACTTCCCCGGCCCCAAATGACTTCAAACTGGTGATTATCGATGCTCTGTGTTTGCTGATCAACTGGGAGGAGATACAGAATCTCAAGCCGTACTGGGTCAGAGAAACCCCGAATTTACTTTTATTGGTGCGGCAGTACACAGATTTTTAGAAAAAGGTCTATTTGGTAATTTCACTGGCACCAGAGAGACCGAGTAACGCGGACGCAGCAACGTTGATGGGGAATGGTGAGGAGTTGACGCACTTTGGGGAGGGGCCTTCGTGCGCCTTTGGAACCGCAGGTGCTCGGGCCCGCTTCTTGCTTGAGTTGGCAGGCTTTGAGGCCTTGCCACTTTTCACGCGTTCCAACTTTTTCTGCTCCTTCAGCTTTTTCGCTTCTGCCTTCTGTTCTTTCAGCAGTTCTCTTTCTTTTTGCCGCACAGCCTTTTCCTCCACCTCTTGTCGCTGTAGCCGATCCTCCTAAATTTTTTTCTGCTTCTTGCACGCAATAAAATCACCAAATGTCAGATAAAGTGCTGGCGTCCCCTTCTGAATCGTTTCTCTTCTACTCGTGTGACTCTTTGCTCTTTGTCCTTGTGGCCTGGGAGCACCTGCATTCATGACAATCTCGTTAACGCTATCATGATTTTTTAGGAGCATCTCTGCCCCTCTTATTGCAGGTGAAGCGGACTTTTCGTTGTTGACATTTCCTTCAGCTCTTGGAAGACAGCTTTGTCCCTCTGCCTCTGTAGTCTAGATGCGCCATCTTTCGAAACAGGCCCTTGTTGGGCTTCACGTAGCACTTGCTCACGAATGTGATCGTTTTCAAACTGTTTGAGAAACCTATAGTCCATCGGCCACATTACAGTACTTTCGAAGCTTTTACAAATATTGACAGATGTTATAGCATGATATGAGGCCATTCCAGCCATGAAATTCACTCGAACTGTCCTTACATCCACGTATGTAACTGCTAACAGCTTATCTCGGGCCTTTCTCATCGCTTTTTGAACGTTTTGTTAACATATTGATCACAGGGCTGTAGGAAATGGCTCGTGTTCGCCGGACTTCGCACGACTGCACAACCAGCAGTTCTACTGTACTCCAACCGATCCCATTGTACACCCAGTTATCGTATTTAGTGCCTATACTATTTCAGTGAGAGAATTTAAAACATGCTCACAGTGAATAGTCTGCGTGACACAATATCCTCCATGACACTATTTTTATTGCCACACATTTTAGTATCACCCATACTATTAAAGTACACCATTATAGTGTAGGGGCAGATGAGATCAAAAATGCTACACGTGTACCCACCCCCTGCCCTTTCATATCACCCGAGCTGCAGAAAGCTCTTGCTCGCGCACGCCGTACACCAGTTCCCCTACTCCATACCCCCCGCCCTTTCATGTCAGCCGAGCTGCAGAAAGCTCTTGCTGGCGCACGCCGTGCACCAGCACCCCTCGTCTATACCCACCCCCCGTCCTTGCATGCCAGTCGAGCTGCAGGAAGCTCTTGCTCGCGCACGCCGTACACCTGTCCCCTCCTCCATATCCACCGCCGTCCTTGCATGCCAGCGGAGCTGCACGAATCTGTTGCTCGGCCTCGCACTCCCCTTTCTAACCTTACAAAGTATCATTGCTTTATCAGGTCTCGCTTAAAATATTCGTATTGACCTTGCATCTTCTCTCCCTACGTTGCGATTCGCGCACATCCTAGTTCCGATTTTTTTACGTTTACGTCATCTGGTTCCCTTGCAAAACCGTTTGCTCAGCCTCTCCCCAGCCGCGTTGACGACCTTATCCTCCCCTTCTTCCTGCGCCTTGCGCCAGAAATCACATCCCTGCTTCTTGACCCTATTTGTCCTTGCCTCCGACTAACACCCTCCTCTCCCCCTCAATTTTCTCCGGATTGTACCACCTCCTCAATTTCTCCAGGAACACCCACCACAGCGCTCAAGACATCAACCGGTTCTCCGTCGAAGTGATCCCGATATTTGCCGATAATGTGCTACAGCTTGGTAAACAGCTGCCTCTCCTCCCATTGACCGTTTATATTTAAAGCCATTCCAGTAATAATCATGGCCTTGTGGCCTTATAAAATCCCGTCTTTGTCGCATTGCCGATTCACAGCAGCAATAGCCTTCACGGCAAGGTCTAGGAAAATTTTTTCCGGGGTTTGGAATTTTGCCCGAAGTTTTAGACCAATTGTTTGCTCTATCATTTTCACCTTGTGCGCCTCCCAGCGTACAGACTACTCTTTCTTAAGTTTTTGAATTATAAACGAATCGCAGGGCTGGACGTAGTCGGTTAGGTTCGGTTCAAAATACTTGATCTCGGTGTTGATGCGTCGCGCAGCTTCTAAAAGTTCAGGGGTTGTGTTTTGTCCAGAGCAATTATCGAGGTAGAGCACTCACTTCCTGCCATGTGGCAGAGAGGAGATGACCTTCGGTTCTGAAAGCCAAAGTGACATGACCTTTGTGTCCATCCAGCCCTTCGGCCCTGATCGGTATGAAACTCCGTGCACGCTGTCCGGAACCCCTCTGATCGGATACGAGCGCTTCTGGTTTTTAAACACCAGAAATGGAGGTGCAATACGCGCGTCACGGCCGCCTGTGAGCCGCACAAACCATCGTCCGGCCCTCCTCCCTGAAATGGCGTCCGCATATTTGACTTCTTGGTCTCCCAAAATTCCGAGCGTGCGTCCGTTGTCGACATCTATGACAAAATGCGTTTCATCCGAATTTTCTATGTCTTCCTCTCTCAACTCACTACTGCAAAATTCTCGAGCTAACACACCAAGATGAAAAGCGACCTGTTTCTCAAGTTAGGCCCTTTTTAGGGGCTTAGTTGATGTTTTCCCGTAAGAGCGCGACTGACAATACCATGACAGTCAGCAAAAGACTGCGTGAAACGTGCTGTAATGAAAGTGGAAACAAGACTTCCGGTTCGTTGATCTAGCATGGAAGGGTGGTATTCATCGCTGTTACCGGAATCGAGCAGATGCTGCCCAAGGGCACGCAGTGACCTGTAATTGAATTTCACGCCCAGTTTGCGTAGTCGATCGAATTCAGTACGCCAGTCATGGTAGAGGGATAGGACCTACTGCGGTCTTTTGCGACCTCTTCCTCTTCTAGCTTTCATATTCACTCGCGCACGGACGCCGTTAATGCGACGGGTGATATCCGAATGGGTTCCTTTCAAGGATATTTTACCCTAAGCGTCAACGTATTCAATGCGGGATTTCCACAGTCTTGACGCTTTGGCCAAGTTGGCGTTGTCGGATCCTGGAGACAGTGATGAGAACCTTGCCACAGCTCTGGTCTGAATGTGCTTCTTTCCGTCCTTTGCAGCTGCATTCATCATCCACTTGAGAATACTCGCCCGCTGCGTAATGGTAAGCACATGTTGAGTGGAGCGCTTTTGGATGTTGCCACTGCAAGGAATATTGTTGGGGTTCATTGCGCCTGGCATGGTGCTATTACTGCCTTGTGTGTCTCGGTCGTCATCAGCACTGTCATCGGACACAATGCGTTGTGTGCACAGCTCTCTAACACGCTGCAACGGACTGTTGCGCTGCCTGTCTCATCAGTTATTGTGTTAACGGGCTCGGTAGAGTAATGTAAAGGATGGACAAAAGATAAGGGAGGCAAAAAATGCCAGGAATCTGACAAAGGGAGAGGTACTGTGTTGATACAGAGAAATCCCACTTTGCGTCAGCGCCCATCAATCAGCCAGGCAACGGCGGCGTGGATCATGACCTAAGGCAATAATTGGGCCAGATATTGCCCTACAGGGTGAAGGGTCCTGTCGCTTCTGTGTCACACAATATAGTGTCACACACATTATTTCTGTTGTGACACTAAATAGTTGCTGACACTAAATACGATAACTAGGTGTAGCGCAGTAACCCTGCGCCCTTTATCCCTAGTCACCGCCGTCGCGGGGCCGCGCTTCCCGCCTTTGACACGTGTACTGTGCGCACACACTTGGGAAGGTACCCCACATGTACCACACGGGGACACACGTGTATGACAGTCGTATGACACGTATATGATACCTGTACAACACGTGTACGACACGTATACATACGTGGTGCCCACAAGTTTCTACGCTAATTAGCGTCTAATGCTAAGTGGCAATTCTAATGACGACAATTAATTATTAATTACCCATTTAGTAACCGACGCCGACAACGGCGCTCAGCCTATATAGGTCGGTTGTCAGAAGGCATTACAGTAAAGAGGCATCAGGTGATCGGACCCCATCTCTGGTGGGATCCTCTACGGTTCCTATTTAGTTGGCTAAGTCTGGTACCTGCACCCTTCGTCGTCATCCTTTTTCTTGTTTTTCCTTTACTTTTTGACCTATTTCTACATTTCTTCACTACTGTTCTTCTTCCTTCTTTATTTTGTTTTCTTGTGTTGTTCTTCTTCGACGCTGTCGATAGCGGTCCGCAATACGGCCGCGACACACCCACTCCTTCTAGTTACTCGATCCCGAGTACCACTTCACACGCTGACGGCGACTCTACCCGCGATTCTCGTGTTACCTTCGAGCTACCACGGAGAGAGGGCCCCGATCACCCTGGTGGTGACTGGACATACCGCTTTTCCTCATAGCGAGATTTACGCCCTCGTTGGCGAGTGTGTCCACTGCACTACATTTTGGTCTCCCGACCTAGAAGGAGTGGACACACGA